CAAGAATAATAATGTTTCCATGGGAGTGGTGCTGGGCAAGCTAGTCAGCTACTTTGGGCGCACAGCCATCTAGGGAGCAGCCAGTGAAAGGATTACTCTGAGGTCGCGAGTCATACTGGGCCCCCTGTGCGGTGGGCCCATGAATACTAGTAATAATTATAGAAGCCAGACCCAAAGTGACAAAAAACTGTCACCCAATTTCTAAGCACAGACTCTATCTTTAACGTTTTTCAGTGGCACAGTTTACTCCCTTTATTGTAATGAAACAACCCTTCCTAGAGTTACTAGTGAAGTCTTCCCGCTAAACCTAAAGGTCAAAACTCTTTTTTTTTTAACTCTCCTCGACTTCTTTGTTGCCTCTGACACTGTTCACCACTTGCTTTTTCTTCAAATCCTCCACAGACTTGACCTCCATGATTCTATACTTTTCAGGTTCTCGTTCTCGTTTAACACTTATTCGGGGTCTCCTTCACTGCCACCACCTCCTCCACACTACATTTCTGATTTTGAGTCCATCTCTCTTTGCCCGTTTTGTTCTCTATTTACATGCTCTGTCTTTGTAACCTTCTCAGCTACTTCGGATTTTAATACCACCTGTATGTTTATACGTTGACATACCTAATTTCTACAGATCTCTCTATTGTCCTCCTGGAGTACATGACTAATTGCCTCATTTTAATCTCTCACTGGAGTTGCTCGTTTTCTTCAAGTCAATATTCAGTCTAAAACTGAACTTCTCATCCCTACCCCTTCAAATATTCCATCTCTTTGCATCCCACTTCAGGTCGAGATATTCCATTACCCTCAACCATTAAACACACTTGAGGTTACTATCAATTCACATTTCACCACATTCTGTAACTTCCACCTTAAAAATATTACTTCTATTCGTCCTTTTATAATGCAAGATCCAACTAAGGCACTTTTTGATGCAATTATAATTTCATGACTTGATAACTATAACTCATTCATTGCCCTTCCAAATACCCACAGTGCAACAATTCAATATAATGTATGTTGCTGCCAGGCTTATTTTCCCAACTTACCGCACCCCTCACCCCTTTTCCAGTACTTAATGGCTTCCCATACCACCAGGATCCATTTAAAATGACTGGTTCTAATTTGCAAAGCTTTCAACAATCCAACTCCTTTTAACAAATCCTCTATGATTAACAAATACCTTCTCTGACTCCCTCTGCTCTGTGAGTGACCAAAAACATCACTCATATTCAGGGGCCGACTGACCGGTCGGGCATTTCGGACATGGTCTGAGGGACCAGCCGGGAGGGGGTCCCGCAGCCAGGGCCGCCATCAGGGGGCCCGGCGGCAGGGCCGGATTGGTCCACTGGGACCGCGGCATCTGGGGACTTCGCAAGTAGGTGCTACCGGGTGGCCGGTCCGGTGGCACACTCTGAGGGGGCTGGCCGCGTTCCACGCTGGAGCCGCCAGGCTGGGTGGCAGCCTCACCGGCCCGGCGGCACTCCTGTCACTAATGCTAAGGATGGAAGGAGGGAGGAGCATGTCTCTCTCTCTCATGCTCCCTTGCAGTTCCCACATCCTGTGCTGGGAATTGTGGGAACCGCAAAGGAGCATGAGAGAGAGACATGCTCCTCCCTCCTTCCGTCCTCAGCATTAGTGACAGGAGTGCCGCTAGACCGGCAAGGCTGCCCCCTGGCCCAGCGGCTCCAGCGTAGAATGCGGCCGGCCCCCTCTGTCTTCTCTTGGTAAATGGGAGGGGGGAAAATAAAACAGAGAGGGGGAATAGATAGAGGCAGGGGAAGAGGGAAGAAACAGACAGTGGGAGAATAGAGATAGACACAGGGGGAGGGGAAGGAAAGAGACAGAGGGGGAGAGAGAGTGACACAGGGAAAGGAGGGAGAAAGAGACAGAGGGGGAAGAGTGAGACACAGGGGGAGAAAGAGGGGGAATATAGAGATGGTGGAGGGGGGAGAAAAAGACAGAGGGGCTCCTCTCGCCCCACCACTTGCCCGCTCGATCCTGTCCCGTCTCACCTTATCAGATCTCTCTCCACTTGTCTCGTGCCTTCTCTAACACACATCTTCAACTGCTCGCTCTCTTCTGGCATCGTCCCTGCTGACCTTAAACATGCCACTGTAGTACCTATACTAAAAAAACATCCCTTGACCCATCCACCCCCTCTAACTACCGTCCCATATCCCTGCTCCCTTTTTCCTCAAAGCTTCTGGAAAGACTCGTCTTTACCCGTGTGTCTCATTTCCTCAATTCCAACTCTCTCCTTGACCCCCTTCAATCTGGCTTCCGCCCTCTCCACTCTACAGAGACTGCCCTTATCAAAGTTACTAACGACCTAATCGCAGCTAAATCCAAAGGCCACTACTCCATACTAATTCTTCTTGACCTCTCGGCGGCCTTTGACACCGTTGATCATGCTCTCCTTCTTCAAACTCTGCAATCGCTTGGTCTCTGTGACTCTGTCCTCTCGTGGTTTTCCTCTTATCTCTCCCAACGCTCATTCAGTGTCTCTTTTTCTAATGATACCTCCTCCCCTCGCCCTGTCTCGGTTGGAGTCCCCCAAGGCTCCGTCCTTGGTCCCCTTCTATTTTCTCTTTACACTGCCTCTCTTGGCAAACTTATTACCTCATTTGGTTTCCACTACCACCTGTACGCTGATGACACCCAGCTATATCTCTCCACCCCGGACCTCTCCCCTGCTGTCCTGCAACGTGTCACTGCTTGCCTTTCTTCCATCTCTGACTGGATGTCCTCCTGCTTTCTGAAACTCAATCTCTCAAAAACTGAGCTCCTTGTCTTTCCTCCTCCTAATACTGATCCTCCTCTCTCGCTCTCCCTTCAAGTTTGTGGTACCAACATCAGCCCATCCTTGCAAGCGCGCTGTCTTGGCGTCATACTTGACTCTGGTCTCACCTTTGAGCCTCACATCCAGCATGTTGCCAAATCCTGTAGATTCCATCTTAAAAACATAGCCCGCATCCGCCCCTTTCTTGCACCAGATACTACCAAGGAGCTTGTCCATGCTCTAATAATTTCACGCATGGATTATTGTAACCCTCTCCTGCTTGGTCTTCCCAAAAGCCGTACTGCACCCCTACAGTCTGTAATGAATGCTGCTGCTAGACTGATTTTCCTCTCTAGTCGGTTCTCTCACACCTCACCCCTCTGCCAGTCCTTACATTGGCTTCCTGTGTGCTATAGGAGTCAATTCAAGGCACTAACTCACACCTATAAAGCACTGAACAACTCTAGCCCCTCTTATATCTCCTCACTGATCCACAGGTATGTCCCTTCTCGGTCTCTCCGCTCTGCCCGTGACCACCTCCTGTCCGTTGTCCGCACCCGTACGGCCAACTCGCGCTTGCAGGACTTCTCGCGGGCGGCTCCCTTCCTATGGAATAGCCTGCCTACCGCCATCCGACTCTCCCCTAGTCTTGCATCTTTTAAGAAGTGCCTTAAAACCCATCTCTTTAGGAAAGCTTATGGCCTCCAAGACTAACCCCTACCTCACATACCCGTCTCTTGCCCTCTCCTAAAGGGCTGCCCACCTTATTTGATTGCACATTCCTGTCCTAATGTGTTTTACACCCCACCTCCTATAGAATGTAAGCTCGATTGAGCAGGGTCCTCTTCAACCTATTGTTCCTGTAAGTTTATTTGTAATTGTCCTATTTATAGTTAAATCCCCTTTCATAATATTGTAAAGTGCTACGGAATCTGTTGGCGCTATATAAATGGCAATAATAATAATAATAATAATGTGGGGTAGAGAGAGACACAGGGAAAGGGGGGAGAAAGAGACAGTGGAACAGAGACACAGGGAGAAAGGATAGGGACACACAAGGGGAGGGGGAGAAAGAGGCAGCCTGCAGCTCCTCTGGGTCCTTCTCACGCGAGCACAGAGCGTTGCCGTGGTTACCACGGCAACGCTCCAGCTCTTGCGAGAGTGAACTCTAGCCCTGGAGCTACGGGCTTGAGTTCACTCTCAACAATGCGACCACCAGGGATTCCTGGTGGTCGCAGTAGTGAGAGTGAACTCTAGCCCCAGACACACTGCCCCCACACACATACCATACACATTCACACACTGCCCCCACACACACACACTGCCCCCCATACACACACACTGCCCCCACACACCATACACATTTACACACATTGCCTCACACACACACACACATACACTGCCCACCCATACACACACAGACCCCCATACACAGCCCCCCATACTAACATTGCCACACACATACACAGCCACCCGCATACACACATTACCCCACACACCCTGCACATTCACACACTACACCCCCCACACACAGAGACTGAACCTTTCACACACTGCACCCCACACACATTGCACCACTGCTCCTATACCCTACTACAGCCCCATATCCCAGCAGACCCCAGGTAAGTTTTCAAACTGTTCTTAAACGATTTGACTACTTACTCTGGGAGGGGGTCCCGGCCCTCCTGGCACCATAACCACTACACAGAGCAGCAGTGGTTATTGTGCATGCATTATTTCCTTAAATAATCTACAAATCCCCCAGTAGCCAGCCAGCCCACAGGCCAGCATGCCCGCCAGCCCACAGGCCAGCAAGCCAGCCAGCCCACAGACCAGCCAGCCCGCCCACACGCCCTCAGGCCGGCCAGCCAGCCAGCCCACAGGCCAGCCAGGCCACCAGCCAACCCACAGGCCAACAAGGCCACCAGCCAGCCAGCCCACAGGCCAGCCAGCCCACAGGCAGCCAGGCCAGCAGCCAGACACAGGCCAGTAGCCAGCCCACAGACCTACAGCAAGCCACAGGCTTACAGCCAGCAAGCCCACAGCCTGCCAGTCAGAGCCAGCAAGCCACAGCCTGCCAGCCGCAGCCAGCAAGCCCACAGCCTGCCGGCAGTAGCCAGCAAGCCCACAGCCCACCGGCAGTAACCAGCAAGCCCACAGCCTGCCAGGAAGCCACAGCTTACTAGCCGCAGCCAGCAAGCCCACAGCCTTCCAGCAAGCCCACAGACTGCTAGCCAGCAACAGTAATTAAGGTAAGAGGAGCCAACTTGGCCTAGGCATCAGCGAGCTATGTTGTGTTGCTATATTGTGAATAGGAACCAGAGTGTTGGAGAGACCACCCTCCAGGCCCCATTAGACTCCATTGTAGTCTCTAATGGGGCCTGGAGGAGATTCTTTCTAACACACTCTCTAAAGGACACTGAGATAGCCTCTGCTAGAAAGACCTCCCCTCCATGGCCCATTAGCCCTCAATTGTAGTCTCTACTGGGGCCTGGAGGCGACTGTTTCCAGCAGAGGCTATCTAATGGATGCTGAGATGGCCTACTAGAAAGACCCCCTTCCAAGCCTATTAGACTCCATTGTAGTCTCTAATGGGGCCTGGAGGGGATTCTTTCTAACACACTCTCTAAAGGACTCTGAGACAGCCTCTGCTAGAAAGAACTCTCTCCATGGCCCATTAGCCCTCAATTGTAGTCTCTACTGGGGCCATGAGTGGATTATTGCACTGTTGTTCCTTGTGTCTAAAGATTGTGTAGGCTGTGGCTGGAGGTGGGACAAGGGTGGGGCTTGCTGCGGAGCATGGGTGGGGCCTGTAAGAGGGCCCTTGATTTAGTTTGCCCGGGGGCCCTGAGGGTTCTCAGTCCGCCCCTGCTCATATTGCCTCCTTTGTATAGCTTTAGAAATATGGAAATACTTTTTGTTTGTGTTTGTTTTTTTAATTGCCTTTTCTACCACTTAAGGTGTTTCAATTACAGCAAAATATTTGCTAAAAAGTGACTTGTTAAAACCTCTAAGTGAATTTTAAATGTTAGGCCACAGTAGGTGAATTGCAAAAATGCTGAAAGTTAGCTATGTTTTCAGTTCAGCTAATTTGGCGTACACCAAATAATGATTTCATAAATAAATATTCTAGCTCACACTGCCCCAATATGTTCCAACACTCTAATGCGTAAAGAGTTAATCAATATCTGATTTATTATTTTATGAAACCTTGCTCTGCATCGTGCACGCTTTAGATGTCTATATTCCCTACTTCTACATTCCATTATAAGTTCCATCTGTTTTGGCAAAATAAATGAGGCCGAGATATTCAAAATATAACAGTTGCTTCCTTTGTCTACATGCCCTCTGTTCTATTTCAGATCAGACAGGCATGTTGGTGGTCTATGAAAATAATTTATGGTTCTACATGAACTGTAGTGTTAGACTCATTTGTTTTTTTTGCTACATCAGTGTTCTACTTCTGGCTGACTTTTTCGAAGCTCCCACAAATATTTAGCCTCAATAGTATGGTTAGAAAATGTAATGAGCTGTCTTGCTGACCTCCAATTGGCTGCCTATTGTTTTTGAATTATATGCTGCTATGAAATAGGAAGGAGTCTAGTAATGAGCGTGATCCAAATAATCTACCACTAAAATGTGTCATGCCTCATTTCAGGCATAAAAGATTTAGAAAGGGATATATCTAAAAAAAAAAAAAAACATATCTTAGATCTCACTGCCAAATTTAAGGGCTGTGTAAACTGTCTAGGGAATGTTCATGGTATTCCACAAGTCTTATTTTTTATGATTGAATAGTTTTTATATTTGTAGAACCATGCCAAAATGAACTGAGTATCTTCAAATTACAAATAAGCAAGAATAAATAAGATGCTTCTGTTTTAAGTATTAATTCCACATGCCTCATATACGATTTGCTCACCTAGGAAAATACCGTAGATCAGGGGTGCCCAAAAGGTAGATCCTCAGATGTTGGAGAACTACAACTCCCATGAGGCTCTGCATGCCTTTAAAATGCCTTTAGAATGACAAAGCATCACAGAAGCTGTAGTTTTAAAACATCTGGGGACTACAACATGGCTACACATATCCATCTTAGACCCCCATAATTATTATTATTATGGGCATTTATAAAGCACCAACATATTATGCAGAGATGTACAATTGGGGAGAAAGACAGTACAATATACACAGACCAATACACAAGGTAAAGAGGGCCCAGTCTGTGAGTAGAGATTTCACAATTAAAATTCTTTCTTTAATACAAAGTATTTAGTTAGCCCCTGAGCCTGCAGTCTTGAAGTTAAAATGGGGAATTGGGATAACAGCTAACAGGGGAATTTGAAGATGATGGGCAGAAAGAATTTAGAGGTAATTGTAGCCACTGGTTAGTTTTAAAGGGGACAAGGAGGTAATTGTGTGAGATAGCATTCTTTAAAGTTAGAAGGGCCAGCGTGGGCAGGAAGATAGGTTTAGTGCTTAATGGAAATTAAATTGATTTGTTCTCGCTGTTGAATGTAGGCATAAGGACAAAAGTTATTTAATGATATTTACTGCTAGAAGGGGCAAGAATTTGAAAGAGAAGGAGGGTGGCTAAAGCAAACCATTTTGCTTAAAAATTAAGTATTTGCCAACAAATTCTATTTGCCAAGATATTATTAACTGTATGTGCATGGAATATTGGGGAAATACATTCACTGATAATAACAATTCAAATCTGCATGGACAGAAAATTACAATGGTAAATAGTAATATATAGTAAAAAAAATAATAATATGGTTAATGATAACTCGTACACCCAAGAAAGTGGCAAATTATATTTTTTAGCTGTTTGTCTCCTTTACGTTCTGGCAAAAATAACTATCTCATTGGTTTAAATGTGTTTCAACCATTAAAACGTTTCATTCTAGCATTTGAAGATAATGGAATTATATAGGAATTACTTTACAGTGACTTTGTTATGTTCTGACAAGCTTTTATTCTCTGAAGTACTCAGTAATGTAAAATACAGGGAAATATTGCCTGAAATCCCACGTTCTAAATAGAGTCATTTCTTCTATAATTTCCCTTTTGATACGATTTAATGAATTTCTTTCAGCATCAATTTTAATTTGCCCTTGGATGGACTCCAAAGTTGACTCAATTAACCATAAATCACAACATTTCTATGATTTGAGCTGGACTGAAAAGGGGATATTTTCCAACTGGTTAGAAAATTCATGTTACTAATTCCAAGGCCTAATGTACATGCCTTCCGAAAGTCTTGAGATAGTGAAACATAAAAAAATTGCATGTGCTATTGAGATATTGAGACATAATGAGAGTTCTGATCAAATAAATTAATTGCAGTCTGGTTCTTCACAAACAGATTCCAACCGGTTTCATTGGTTTTGTGAAGCACTGAAGAAAGACAAAATGGAAGACAAGCAAACTGTAATGTTCCGCTCTCTCTGATAAACACGAGTTGATGAAAAACTACCTCTAGATATACATTTTTTGGTTTACTTTAAGAATTGAAAGTGAAATGCATGTATAACACTCAAACTATTTGGAAGAGAAGATTCATTTTTTAAAAAAGTCAATTTTAATAAGAAATACATTGATTAGAAAGCCCGGTGAATGTTTTCCTACTTCTCTGCTTTATATCTATATGATAATAATATATAAGAAAAAAAGGGTTTCTTCCTGAACATGGTCTGAATAGGGTTCTATTTAATAGCTGTGATTTGTAATTAATACCCAGTAATGTTGTGTAATATGTGACCAATGATGGAAAAAAGGTCCGTCACTAACTTTTCCAGTGATTAAAAGTACTGAAAACAATGTTAAGATCATAAAATCCTATTTTCTCTATAATATTTGTATATAGTTTAATATTATTCAGATGACTATTCTTATGTTTTGTGTAAAAGCCAAGCAGGACATGAATATTGTTGGTGGGGCCTGGCCTCAAAAAGTATAGAATGCATTAAAAGGGTTTATATACATGTTGAACTAAAAACGTTAGCCAAATTCAAATGAATGCAGGGCATTAAAAGTCACTTAAAAAAAAAAAAGAAAAATCAGAAATTGAACAAAAGTAGACATATGCAAAATTTAATTTATCCAAATCAAAATCCTTTTAATCAACACCCAAACAAATCGATTCATCTGGAAAATTAAGGTGAATCAATTTGGTCAGGTGTGGATTAAAAAGCTTTTAAATCAGTCAAATCTATTAGTTTGTGGATAAACCAAAGCTTTGCACAAGAGTAAACAAAACTTCAAATCTAGATCACAGAGAAAACAGGGGGGGGGAAAGTGACAAACTATATGTCATTCTATCACAGAGCGCACAGACTGGTAAAACAAAAATTACAGGATTATTCACTAAACTGTTAAGTAGTCAAACTAAAAATTCTCCAATTAAACTATAATTATTTTTCACCTACTATGCTCTGAAATTTGAAATTTACTTTGAATTAATTTTGAATTCCTGACAATTTTCAATTTGCGGAGTAACCCTGACTGCTTGTTGCAGCTCCACCTAATGTCCGATCTGCCAACAATACTTATCAGATATGATTAATGATGTTGGTATAAAATTATTTTGGTGCCAGATCACCACTTTAAATAACTTGTGCTAGGCAACTGAACATTGTTTTTTGTTTGTATATTCACACACGTTTTGCTCTGTAGTGATTTAAGAGCAATATTACTCCTACCTTGATTTCATCTTGTTTTAATATTACCATTTTATGTATGTATAAACTGTTATTTTTTTTGTACCTTTTTGGACTTGGAAATTACTAGTTAAAAAGAAAAATCTACGTTGTAAGACCTTATTCCAGACTTGTTTCCACTCATACTTTAGATTTTGCCTGGGAGAGGTAAACACGCCTTATACACACTTGAAAACTGTGTCTTGTTTAAAGGTTCAGAAATAATTTGTAAAAACTAAAGCCCTCACACTACAAGTCTTTAAAACAGAGACGTCACTTCTCTAGAAAATATGCATTTGAATAAAACATTGTAAATCATCTATACCTTGTATTAACATCTTTTTTTTCCAAATAGTTTTTATTAGGTATTTAATATTATAATAAAATAAAAATAACAAAAATTAAATGAACAATAATACAAAGAAATTGGGAAGGGGAAACTTGGGGGAAGTATCCATCTGAATTGACACTATTTTTTTGCAATATTGATATTATCGATGATAATAAAAACCTTGTCCTTGTTTTCCCACTCAGTCCAGAAATAATGAAGCTGATCCCATAATAAAGATGGTTGTCTAATAGCCATCTCCTACGATTTGTTTTCTAATGCTAACTTTAGCACATCAACTGTACAGGGTATTGTAAATCCCCTGCTATAACCTCTATTAACATATTTTTCATGTGATATTTCACTTTCTTTTAAAATATAAATTATTTAAAGATGATATAAAGATTTAATA